GCTTTTGGCAGCCTGACAAGCCCGCTCACCAAGCGCTTGCTTAGCCAGACGAGTGCCCTTTCACAGTGCATAAGTAGGGGCGCAAGTGCGGCTAGCATCGCATCAGAAAGGCACTGGAACGCACGAGGATGGATCTTACAACAGCCGACCGCCGTCTTCGGGGGAAATCGCGCAACCGCTCTCCTCAAATCGTCGACCCCGAGCGGCGGCAGGCTCGCCCAATCCTTCGAATCGCTCGGCATCCCCAAATCGTCGCAAGAATGGGTGGTCCAAACATGGGACCATTCGCGGCGCGCATCGTCGGCAAGCTCGAAAGGTTGGATCCGATGCTCCTCGGTGAGCACCTCTTGGATTCCACGGGCCCTGGTAAAACGATGGGCAGCTTTGGCCCCGTCGAACGCCTCTCTGACCCAGGACTTCCAGGCTTCCCCTTTGCAAGCCAAAAACACGGCCTCCTTTTCCTGGGCCAAGGCCAAAACTCGCCCCATCAGACCGGGCGTAGACGGATCACCGATCACATCCGTTCCAGACCTGAAGAACCTTGCCGTCAGCACGTCGAGGCGGGCGGGCGCCCAGTCGAGCCTCTGGATCCTGCCGAAGCAGGCCCCGGTATCGATCAGAACCTTGGCAGCGCGCTTCAACCTCCTCGGCTGCTCGTCCAAGTCCGCGTCAAGGTTGGGAATGCACGACTCCAGCGCGATGCGCACGCTGCGCAGATGCCTGGCCCACCTGGCCGATGCACTCCACGCTGCGTACTCGTACGGGAGTCGAGGCTGTCGATGCTGTGGGGCTGCGCGTAGCTTCTTCCTGCGAACTTGGTGCCCCCCAGCTCTGCCTTCGCAGCCGTGGCGACGGGGTCCAACAACATCGCGTCGGTCCAAGAGCTCAGCCTCGATGCCCTGAACCGTTAAGCCCCAGGAGCCTGCCAACTGATCAGCCGTCGTGGCATGCTGAATTTCATCATGAAGCTGCTTCCAATCACGTGGGAACCGCCCACAATCTGGCTTGGCCAGCGCATGGGGGTTTGTGGGTTGATCAGCAACTCGGCACCACAAGACTGTCTTTGGCGTGAACTTGCATAAGCACAGGCCTATGCGGCCAGATCGTCGCAGCGTCCACCACGTCATTAATTCCAGAAAGGGTGGCGAACCCCACCCCTCAGACATGATGAAGTAATCAACCGTCGTGCCTGGTGAACTCTGAATACATGTGGGCGCAGACGGCGCCGCAGTAACTCCCCCTATAGGAGTCGCCCATGGCTGTATCAGAGCGCGGTCCATGCTGTAGTCAGCTGCGACAATCCACTCATGCCCAAGCGCTCGCACTCTGAGCAGATGCTGAGCCAACATCTTGAGCAATGTCATATTCTTCTGTCCCATCTCCTCGCTGACGCGAAGATAAGCCGACGCTGCCACGAGGCCTCCTTCGAACCATGTGTGCACCAGATTTGCAACAGCTCTCGCCCAGCAACGCACCTTTGGTGTCTGCCAGCAACGGCTCAACCGTCACCAACACTTTCTTCAGCGCAATCGCCGCGACGCCACCGCTTGCGCCATGCCCGTGGCCAGTCTCCTTGGCTGGGGCCCGCGCGCCGCGGTAGCCGACCGCGCTCATGCGTCCTTGACAAGGATTCCATCTTCGCAGCCGTGACGCGATGCCCCTGTGCGCACGCGATAGGCTGCCCATCTCCTAGCACGGGGGCATCGGCCTCGAACATCTCAGCAAGCGGGTTGAACGACGTAGTGTTGACAGTAGCAATGCGCGTCATGATGCCGGCAGAAGAGAACAAGCACACATGCATGCCACTCAACGCCAACAACCAACTACGCCGCCTTGTGCCGCTTCGCGAACGACAATAGCATGGCGCCCGTCCTCTTGGCTGCTTCACGCAACTCAACTTCACCATCTGGTACCTGCTGCTCGACCGAGCGGAGGAACTCTCGCAGCGCCTCTGGATCGTCCGCCACCGACGGGATGGCTGGCTCCCAGCGCTGCCATTGCTTAGCCGTCGCAGCTGCAGCCGCCTGAGCGGCCTGCTCGGCCTCCTGCTGCTACTGCTGCCGCTGCCTCGCCTCCTCGGCGGCGCGGCGCTGCTGGGCGCCGCGCAATTCCTCCGCCGCCTTCGCCTCAGCCAAGCACTCGAACAGCCTCTGCGCCAAAGCCGGCCTGCCGCCAAAACCCTCGCCACTTCTCGACCGTGAGGTGCTGGCAAGGAGCTGCTCGAGCCCCTGTGCGCCGTCGTCAATGGGCTTCTCAGGGGCCCGTGGTGCGCCAGCCACCAACTGGCGCCGCTCGGCCTCCAACTCCGTGATTTCCGTGACTGTGGTCTGAAGCGCCTTGGCCGCGTCCTTCACAACCTTCTGCGCTTCTGCCATAACCTGCTTGAGCTCCTCGACCACTTGGTCTGGCGCTCCTGTTTGTCGATCAACTTCGTGCGCTGAAAGGACATATCTTTGAGCCGCGTGTCCAGAGACTCGCCGCGAGTGATCTGACCTCGCAAGGTGGTCTGACGCGCTCGCAACTCCCCCCACAACTCATCGAACCCTGGGCCTTCCACATCTGCAACTTTCTGCGGCTTCTCGGTGACAGCCCCGAGCTCCGCGCGTAAGTCTGCGGCGCTGTCCTTGCCCTCGTCGATACCCATGGCGTCGCCATCGGGCTTTGTTGCGGCCTCCTTCTTCCGTATCTATGTGACTTTATCGCGCAACCTCTTGAGCTCGGCAGTGAGCTTGGGGTTGGGCTGCGCTGGGGCCTTGAGCGCCGACACAGAGGGGGTGGCTGGCTGCTTGGTCCCTGCAAATGCTGACGCCGTGGGCTGCTTGCGTAGCGAACAGTGGTCGAAAGCCGCTCTGTTCCACCACCTATCGCAAGTCTGATGCGACCAGCAATTCTTGCAATACCATGGCTTGGCCCACGCCTGGCGTCTCTGCTTGTGACCTGAGGGCGGCGCACAGCCTTGAGAAGCATGAAGGGGCGCCATGGGCCTACCGTACTCGATAGTGAAAAAGAAATCGTGCTGTGCACAGTCGGGAAGCCCGCGTACAGTACACGGAATGCAGCAGTGCCTCCAAGCCTGGGCAGGCCACTCGGGAGACGCGAAGGCGGTCGGGGACCGCACTTCCCCCACGCCAGAATCTCAAATCCTGAGCGAAACACTACGGACTTGAGCCAACATGGCTACGGACACAAGGCTCCGAGATGCCCAAAGATGTCCCAAGAGGAAACCCAACGATCCCCAATACGGCCCCCAGACGGTCCATGACGGCCTCGCAGACGGCTAACATGGCCGAGTATTGACTCCGCGACGGCCAAAATTCCCTCTAGACGGCCAAGATCGATTCCCAGATGGTCAAAATAGCCCTGTACTTTTGTTCCGCCAAGGCGGTCTAAGGTGTCCTCAAAGCCTGTCAAGATGATACGATATTGACTAAGATAATCTCAGTACAGCTCCACGACGGTTCCGGATGGCCGCAGGGGGCAGCCATGCAGCCCGAGGAGGCTCCAGGAGACCCCGAAAAAGCCCCGATCAGGACTCCTCCTCATCCTTCTTCTTCTCTTCCTTGTCCTCGTCTTCGTTCTCCTCCTGATCGGGAGCGGCCAAGAGGGGGGCGTCCAAGGGGGGGGGGTGCAAATCATGGCCGGCGGCGCGGCCCAGGGGGGGGGGCAGGGACGTAACAAAGTAAGAAGAGGCGCCATGAAATCTAGGGAAATATCATGGCCCACGCCATGATATCCACCCCCCCTAGTCATCACCCCCGTCTTTGCCGCCCTCGACCTGAGTCCACCCCTCGTCCTCCCCAAACGGCTGCCGGAGCGCACAGTTAGATAGCTTGGCCAAGCTCTGCCCCAGAGCTGCCCTCCGGGCCCTCCGCCGACCCCCCTCCCTTGCTGCATTCCCTCATGCCTTGTCTGCCATTGCCTTCATGTCTCGTCTTACTCTCGCTGCGCCCTTCGACGACCTCCTGGCAAACACCACCACGATGTCACGATTTCTACGAATACCCTCTTCCCACGACTCAGCACACCTTCTGCGAGAGTGCGCACGCGATTGCCTTGTGGAGATGTTCTGGCATCACACGGGGCCCTCTTGGAGCACGCTCGGAAGCCTCTCGGTAGCCTCTCGAGACCCTCTTGAAGACATGTCGAGGTCTCGCAAGCCTTTTCAAAGCTTCTTGGGACCGCGTGGGACCTCTTGGGGACCTTCGTTAGCCTCTTTGGGGCCTGGTGGGACTTGTGGAAGCTCCCCCAGGAACATCATGCGGTCTCTTCGACCTGTCTAGGGAACCTCATGGGGCCTCTGGGGAGCTCTTCGGGGCGTCTGTGTCCGACCTACCCGAACACCTCCGGCTGCCACCTTCATCATGGGGTCTTCTTCCAGTGTCGGCGGCACTGGCCGCAAGGCCTGAACAATATGAAAAACCGCCGAAACCTCGGACCTCCATCTTCCATCCTGGACTGCTTCTGCTTCTCCCTTCCCGATCGGAAACACGCTGGAGCGACTCCCCAGGCAGCAGCCGACCTTTCGTGCGCGGCCTGCCGAGAGCTGCGCGCGATGCGACAGCAGCGGCGTGCGCACCGATGGCTCAGCGCACCGGAAGACCACTCTATGGCGACGGGTCGCTCGGTGTTCGGGCCAGATAGCTCGGGCTCTGGCAGCCGCTCGGGACGATGCTGCTCTGGGCGGAGCGCAGCTGCTGGAACGCGCACGCCGAGGCAGGAACACCTCAGGGAATCGACGACAGCGTTCCTGAAATGCGACGCCGCGAACAAAATTTAGAGAAATCGCGACTTGAGCCCTGAACCCCATCTTTCTGCGGCATCTTGCGAGCCAGATCCATCTGTGAGGTTCCTGGGGCCCGAAAAACGGCGCACAGACGCCTGGTGTGAACAAATTGCAGCGCCCGGATCTCAGGGCCCGAAGACGTCCAGCCGCGCACCAGAACAGGGCACACCAATGAAAGCGCCACTTTCCCGCGCATGGCCGACCACCGGCCGCTGGCCTGCACGCCAGCGGCGAGCGCCTCCTCCAGCTGGCGCACGCGCGTGGCGTGGGCGGCCTCCCCCCTCGCGGCCCGCGGCGGGGCGGGCCCCGTCGCCGCCGCCGCGGTTGCCGTCGCCGCCGCCGCCGCCGTCCTCGCCGTCCTCGCCGTCGCCGCCGTCCTCGCCGTCCCCGCAACTGTCCTCGTCGTGGCCGCCGCCGCTGCCGTCATCGCCATCGCCGCCGTCCTCGCCTGCGCCAGTGCCGTAGCCTAACGTCACCGCCGTCCTCGTCGTCGCCGTTGCCGCCGCCGTCGAAGCCGCCGCCGCCGCCGCCGTCGCCGTTACCTCCGTCGACGTCGACGTCGCCGTCCGCGGACGTCCAGGTTTGTGCGCGTGCAGAGAGTGGGGTCGACCATCACGTTCGAGGGGCAGTGGAGGCGCGCTGTCCAGCCCTGGTGAGAACCAGCCCAGCGCTGGGCTGGACGGGCAGATCCTGATGCGCACGGACCGCGGCGCCTCTGCACACCCAAAGCCGAAGCAGAGTGTTGCAGGACCGGTCCGCACCAGCTGGTGGGCTGCTCCCCACAGACCAGGCTTGCGAGGGCAAGCATCTTCATCCCCGGGCCCGAAACGTCACTTTGTCTCCGCCCCTCGCAAGTCCGCCCCCTGCATTCCATCGCGGGCGGAACACACAACCGTAGCCACGGCCTCGGGGTCCGCAACCCCGTGGATACGGGGCGGTTTTGGCGAGTGCCCTGCGCGGAACGTACCCATGCAACCGCGTACTCTGAGTAACTCAATAGATCTGGGGTGACCTGTAATCAGGGGGGGGGCCTTGTAGTCGTGGTAGGGGTGGGCCTGTTGTCCGGGGGACTGGGCGCGCGAGGAAGCGTTCTCGCTCCGCTGGACTCCCATCCATGGCCGCAGCATGGAGGCAACAGTTGCGTGCCTTGGAGCACTCAGGAGGGCAGAGTGGCGACTGTTGCGCGCGTGGCAGCACCCCCCGGGGGAAGGCGAGGGATGCACTGTGATCTGCATGCGGCACCACTTCGCTGGACCCCGCGGGGACGCAGCTGATTGGCGGCATTTGCATGCGCGACATCGCTGGCCCAAAAAGGGCGAAGGGCTCGCGTTGGCGAGCGTGGGAGGCGAATCCACTGGACACCCAGGGGCGCAGGAAGAAGGCGACAGCTCCACGCTTGCCAGCGCACAGGAGGGGCGGGGGAGAGTGGCGAGCGAGGAGCCGGGGAGGCTAAACGGGGGAGGGCATCCGAAACACTAGCGTCACGCAGCGCAGCGCAGACACACCGCAGCGCGCGCGCTCTGTCGCTGGCAGGCGGCGGTGCGGCGATGCCGCTGGCGCTGGTTGATTGAAGGCAGAGGCGCCAACCTGCGCCGCCTGCCGTGGGCAAATCTTAGCGCCTGCATCGCCAGGGGGCCCGCAGCTCCAGGGGGGGAGGTGCCTGGGCGGGGACCGTCCCCGCCTGAGAAGCATCGAACTGGAATCGGCGATACATCGCCGATAGATCTGAAGGGGCCCCAGGACACACAAATTCGCCGGCCCAACGGGCCAGAGGCGTGCTAAGATCTCTGGTAACTGGTTAACAATTCTCTAGTTCGCGCGCGCGGGGCGGCCCCTGGGGGTCCCCAGACGAAAAGTACCCCGACCAGGTCCCGGCCGGTCCCCGGCCGGGTCCCCCCGAGCGCTCCACGAGCGCACCAACAGGGCTCCGAAAACGTCCCCGAGGACCCAAACAAAACCAAGAGGCCCGCAAGAGGTCCCCAAGATGGTACACGAGGCGTCCGAGATGCCACAAGATCGCTCCAAGACGCCCAAGATGGCCCCCAGACGCTCCAAGAGGTCTCCAAGCGTACTCCCAAGAGGGCCCCAAGAGGCAAAATTCATTGCTTTTCCTTAGGTTTTGGACATATTTTGGCTTTTCCACCTTTTCCGCTTCCCGAAGCCCCAAGACAGCCCAAGACGACTCCAAGATCGCCCCAAGAGGGCTTAAGAGGCCCCCAAGAGAGCCCCAAGACGGCCCAAGAGGGCTCCAAGACGGCCCAAGAGGTCTCCAAGACGGCCCAAGAGGGCCCCAAGAACGCCCCCAAAGGGGCCCCAGAGAGGGAACACGAAACAACATTTCGAGCCCTCGGCCCTAAGAAGCCCCTACGAGGCCCCAAGAGGCCCCTATGAGGCCCCAAGAGGCCCCCACGAGGCCCTCAGGAGGCCCCCAAGAGTCCCCCAAGCGGCCCCAGGAGGCCCCCCAAATGCCCCCCCGAGCGCCCCAGGAGTCCCCCAAGCGGCCCCAGGAACCCCCAAAGCGCCGCATTGACACCAGGCCCTCGGGCAAACGGCAGACATGAGACTGTATGGGCCGGCGGAATGAGCGAAGCGATTAAATAAATACACACAAATAAAAAGATTCCCTATATTTTCCCATATTTTCTGGGATTTTGTCTTCCCCCCCACTCCCCATATTTTCCTATATTTTCCTGGGAGTCGACGATTAATTGTGTCTGTGTATTTTTTCCCCTCCAGATGAAGGCAGATGCGCCAACCTGCGCCGCCTGCCATGGGCAAATCTCAGCGCCCGCATCGCCGGGGGGGCCTGCAGCTCCGGGGGGAGGTGCCTGTGCGGGGACCGTCCCCGCCGGAGAAGCATCGAGCTGGAATCGGCGATGCATCGCCGATGGATCGGCGATGGGCCCCCGATAACGAATCCGCGATCTCCTGGGTGGGTGAAGGGAAACTGGGACACACAAATAAATACACACAAATGAAAAGATTCCCCATATTTTCCCATATTTTCTGGGATTTTGTCTTCCCCCCCACTCCCCATATTTTCCTATATTTTCCTGGGAAATCGACGATTAATTGTGTCTGTGTGTTTTTTCCCCTCCTGATATCGGGCCATCTCTGAGAGGCGCAGATACTGGAAAGCACCCACAGGCTGGAAAATCGCCAGACACCTGCGAGAACGCCAGAACACCTCGAGACTATCCTTCCTGACAGTTGCCCCTGAGGAGGGGCCCCGGCCAGAATTGCCGAGGGGGCTCCTAACGGCAGGTATGGCGACCCCAATCCCCGACTTTGCGAGGCTCCTGCATGGACTAGAAATTTGGGACCAAACTCGGGGATGTACACAGGGGGGCGCCCATCCTCGACGAGGGTGCACCCGAATATCCTACTAGGGGTGCATCCCCGAGTCTCCCTTCTTTTCTGAGCGGCCCAACTTTTCGGGCGAGACTTGGAGATTGGTCGGAGGCAACTCCTGGGAGGTCTTTGTCAAAACATGTTAAAACTTACTAAACCCGATAAAGGGACCACGGCCAACTTGCGCCTGGGACGAACCCACGTCGAACGGGACCGAGTGAGCCAGACTGAAACGGGGGATCTTCTGACCCGGGCCAGTCCAGACCCAAGCCAGTCAGGCCTTGCAGCAGCATATCCCGCAGGACCCTGCAGGATCCTGCAGGCTCCTGTCGGGAGCGGCAAAGAGGGGGGCGTCAAAGAGGGGGGGGTGCAAATCATGACCGGCGGCATGTGCGCGGCCCAGCGGGGGGGCCAGGGACGTAATGAAATAAGAAGAGGCGCCATGAAATCTGGGGAAATATCATGGCCCGCGCCATGAAATCCCCCCCCCCCCCAGTCATCACCCCCCTCTTTTCCGCTCCCGATCCTGCAGGGTCCTGCACCCGAGCCCGGGCCAGTGCAGCCCCGCACCTCCCCGCCCGACGACGCTGACGCTGGCGCTGGCCGTGACGGCACCCGCGCGACGCCCAAGGAGCGCCGTGGACGGCCCCTCGGCCTGCCGCGCGGCCGGCCGGGTCCCCGAGCGGACCCGTGGCGCGCGAGGTCGCCCCGTGGCCGTGCTGCCTTCGCTCCGCCTCGGGCCGTCCTGGGGGCCGCCAGGAGGAGACGGGTGGAGGAGGAGGAGGAGGAGGAGGAGGAGGACGAGGAGGGGGAGGAGGAGGAGGAGGAGGAGAAGCCGGAGGAGGAGGAGGAGGAGGAGGAGGAGGAGGAGGAGGGGAGGAGGAGGAGGAGGAGGAGGGGGAGGAGGAGGAGGAGGAGTAGGAGGAGGGAGGCCGCCAGGACGAAGCAGGTGGGATCTGCTGCAAGCTGATGTCTCCGAGGGGAGTGGGGCGACGTTTGCCTCTTGGGGCCGTCTCGGCGGTCTTTTGGGAGCGTTCTTGGGCCGTCTTGGAGGCGCGTGGGCCGTCTCGAAGCCATCTTGGGCTCTCGGGCTATGTGTGTGTGTGTGTGTGTGTGCGTGTGCGTGTGCGTGTGCGTGTGCGTGTGCGTGTGCGTGTGCGTGTGTGTGTGTGTGTGTGTGTGTGTGTGTGTCGCTCTGTTTGGGCGTTTCGGCGGCGAGCAAGGGGGGGGGAAGTGAGAAGGAGAAGGCCTTCTCAGAGGGGGGCGGGACTTCTCGGACGCCCTCGCGCCATCGGATATTTTTTTTGTTGGGGACTTCTGGGCCTTCTGAGAAGGCCCGCCCCTTCTCATTGTCGCCTTCTCTCTCGCCGCCGACAAGCGGAACCGTGCTGCTCGCTGTCGCCCTGCTGCCCTTCTCCCTCGTTCGGCCTTTGCCCCCGCCGCTTGCCATCGCCTGAGCCTTCCCTTCCCGTGCACCCTTCGGTCTCGTGCGCGTCCTCTCCCGCAGGGGGTGATCCGAGACGCCCCCAGACTTTCCGGCGCTGGCCTCGCCGCGACAAGGGCGCACACGCCCCGGTGACGTCCAGGACTCTGTGCTGCAGGAGGAAGAGGAGGAGGATGGGGGGGGGGAGGAGGAGGAGGATGATGAGGAGGAGGCGGAGGGAGGAGGGAGGAGGAGGGAGGAGAGGAGGAGGAGGAGGGAGGAGGAGGAGGACGAGGAGGGGAGGAGGAGGAGGAGGAGGAGGAGGAGAGGAGGAGAGGAGGAGGAGGAGGAGGAGGAGGAGGAGGAGGACGAGGAGGAGGAGGGAGGAGGAGGAGGAGGAGGAGGAGGAGGAGGAGGAGGAGGAGGAGGAGGAGGAGGAGGAGGAGCAGCAGGAGGAGCAGCAGGAGGAGGAGGAGGAGGAGGAGGAGAGCGACTCCACCGCGAGGGCGGGCGACGAGGTCGCCCGAGCGCCCGTGGAGCTCCGCGCCCCGCTCCGAGCGGGCGGCTGCCGGGGGCGCGGCGGCCTTCGAGGCGGCGCGGGCGCTGCCGCAGCAGAGGCCATCGCTCGGACGTCCATTCCATGTGTTTTTTTTTTTTGGTTTCGTGCGCGGTTTTTTCGCCAAGTGATCAGGGATGCTCCTCGAGGGTCCTCGCCGAAAAGAAAAATGCACACGTCCGAGCGATGCCAAGCAGCAGAGGCCAGCCCGAGAAGGACCAGGCCGCTGGACCTCCCCGGGGGAGACGCGGCGCACGCCCTCCGAGAGGAGACAGGCCGGCGACTCCGAGGGGCGCGGTCTGCCAAGGGTGTGGCGCGGCAACTGGGCACCCTCCGGGGGCCACCCGGGGAGGCGGGCGGGGACCTCGGCAGAGCCCGCCGCCGCGCCCCGAGGAGGCCCGACGAGGACGGCGTCGTGCTCCCCAGGCCCCAGCGGTGCGGATCGCAAACCGCACCCCTGCGTAACCACACCTTTCGTTATAGCCGAGCAGGGGCGAGGAAAGGCATGATGGAAATCGCCAGCTTCCCAACTGATGAGAATGGGTTTCCACCCTGCAGCAGCTGTCTGGAAAGAGGGAGGCACCCCTCCTTCTCACCCTCCCGCCTTCCTCCCTCCTCTCCCCCTGCGCCTCCGCCCTCTCCTCGCCCTCCTCCTCCTCCTCCTGCTCCTCCCCATCCTCCTCCTCCTCCTCCTCCTCCTCCTCCTCCTCCTCCTCCTCCTCCTCCTCCTCCTCCTCCCCCTCCCCCCTTCTCTGTCACCCGAACTCGGCGCGTCTCCCCATGTGCTGGCTGCCTCTCCCCCTCCGCCCCTCCCTCTCCCGCGCAGCCCACGAGCGGGCCATCTCCTTGACACCCCACGGGTTGCGAGTGCGAAGTGCGAGCATGCAGTGCGAAACTTGGGCGCCGGCGGCCGTGCGCCCCGAAACGGCTGCCAACTAGAGAGGCATGAGCGCTGCCACGCAGACATGCACAACACTCCACCGCTCTCGTCGTGCCCGTCTCCCCTGAGATCCGACGGTGGGAAAACTTGCAGCATCGCGAGAAATCGCAGCCGGAGCCCCAGACCCCACCTTTCTGCATTTTTCGAGCTCCGTCGATCTGGAAGGGTCCTTGGGCCCGGCTCCGGGCGAAAACGCCCTGTGGGAGAAGTCGAAGCGCCTGGATCGCAGGGCCCTCTCCCCCTCCGCCCCGCGCGGCCAGCGTGGACAGACTGTCCATCTGCCCCACGAGGGCAATCATCGCACCCACGAGCTGCATGCACAGCATCTGGGCCGCGGCAGCGGTGCCGAACTCCATCTCGCGCGGGAGGCGGTGCCGAACACACGAGGAGGAGGAGGAGGAGGAGGAGGAGGAGGAGGAGGAGGAGGAGGAGGAGGAGGAGGAGGAGGAGGAGGAGGAGGAGGAGGAGGAGGAGGAGGGGAGGCTCAGCTTGTTGCGGCGGCGGCCCCGGCGACACGATCTGCCCTGCGAGCGGGCAGCATGTCGCTCCGCTCCGCGTGGCGGGCGACCAGGGAAGGCTCGGAGCGGTGTCGCTTGGGGGCCGGGGTGTGAGTAGCGTGTCGCGCCGAAGCGTGGGCCAGAACAGGCGCCGCGACACGCTATACCCAACCTTCCCAGCCGTATGCCACGTGTGATATCCCAAGTCGAGGGTTCACAGGCCCCCGCCCCAGATGATGGGATGGGCCCCGAGGTTCCTCAGCCCTTCCCCGCTCTGATGGGATAGGGGGCGGACGACGACGACGCCGACGCTGACGCCGACCCCCCCGCCGACTCCGACGCCGACGCCGATGCCGACGCCGGCGCCGACGCCGACGCCGCCGCCGCCGCCGCCGCCGACGACGACGACGACGACGACGACGACGACGACGACGACACCGCAACACCACCCCAAACCCACAAAGGGCGGGGGGGGCGCCGGCAACCCCCACCACGCCACGCCCACATGGCCACGACCACAGGGGGAGGACCCATCGCAGGGGGGGGTGGGTGGGCCGGAAGGCATCAGCACGGGGTGGGCCCAGACCCCTGGTTCATTTCCCCCCCTTTTTCTCCTCGCTCGTCACGTCCGCTTTTCCTCCAATCCTCCTCCTGATGCACCACCAGGGCGGACGTATCAGTAGGGCGTGCCGGGGAGTTCGCATGAGTATGACTTTGATGTATGCTTCCGGGCCTTGAACCTTCTAAGAACCACTTCCAAAAGCCACTGAATGCTTTAGCCAGACGCCCTTGACAAAAGCATCGATCGTAGACGCAGTCTATGCACAGCTGAAGCGGGGGAAGACTAACATGCTTAACCACTTCTGTCGCATGATCTTCCCCGTCCTTCCTGGTCTGGGCAGGGGAAGCGCTGAGGGGGATAGGTTCGCACGCCGCGCCGTGGACCTCTCCTCGCCGAGACGATGGCCCACCCCGCCCTCTCGAGGCCGTCGAAGACTGCGTGCTGCGCCGACCCGTCCAGAAAAAAGAAACCCGACACGATGCGCGTGTCAGCCCGACACGGGTGGGAGGGAGTGGTGATGGTGGTAAAAGTTGTGCTGGTGGTCGTGGAGGTGATAGCGATAGCGGGAGACGTAGCGGCAGTAGAAATGGTAGCAATAGTACTGGTAGTGGTAGTAGTCGCACTAATCAGAATAGTAGCTCAGTAATAATAGTGATGAAAGTCGCCGTAGTAGTAGTGGTGGTAGTAGTAGTAGTAGTAGTAGTAGTAGTAGTAGTAGTCGTAGTAGTAGAAATAGTAGTAGTAGTAGTAGTAGTAGTAGCAGCAGTAGTAGTATTAAGAGTAATAGTAGTAGTCGTAGTAGTAGTAGTCGTCGTCGTAGTAGTAGTAGTAGTCGTAGTAGTAGTAGTAGTAATCGTAGTAGTCGTAGTAGTAGTAGTAGTAGTAGTAGTAGTAGTAGTAGTAGTAGTAAAAGTAGTAGTAGACGTAGTAGTAGTAGTAGTGCTAGTAGTAGTAGCAGTAGTAGTAGTAGTAGTAGTGGTGGTGGTAGTAGTAGTAGTAGTAGTAGTAATAGTAGTAGTAGTATTGGTAGTAGTAGTAGTAGTAGTAGTAGTAGTAGTAGTAGTACGTGCTGTAGAAGTGGTAGTACTAATACTGGGAGTAGTCGTAATAAATGTAATAAAAATCTTACTCGCACAAAAAATAACACTGGTAGTAGAAGCGCTAGTAGTGGTATTATTGATAGTTGTCGTAGTAGTAGTAGTAGTAGTAGTAGTAGTAGAAGTAGAAGTAGAAGTAGTAGTAGTAGTAAGAGTAGTAGTAGTAGTAGTAGTAGTAGTAGTAGTCGTCGTCGTAGTATTGGTAGTAGTAGTAGTAATAGTAGCATTAGTAGTAGTAGTAGTAGTAGTAGTAGTCGTCGTCGGAATCGGAATATTCGTAGTAGCCGTAGTAGTCGTAGTAGTCATAGCTTTCGTAGTCGTCGTAGTAATAATAATAGGAGTGGTAGAAGAAGTAGTAGTAGTAGTAGTAGTAGTCGAAATTGTGGTCATTAGAAGTAGTAGTAGTAGTAGTAGTAGTAGTAGTAGTAGTGATCGTCCTCGTAAGAATGCAAACAATAGTAGCAAACTTGCTGTAGTCGTCGTTGGAACAGTAGTCGTAGTCGTAGTGATGGTAAACATGGTAGAAGACGTAGTAGTCATAGTAAGTTGAGAAGTAGTAGTTATCGTCGTAGTAGGGGCAAGCGTGCTAGCGGTCGCAATGCTGATCAGAAAAAAACATGGATGGTAGTGGTGGTGCTGTAATTGCGGTCTTGATACTAATATTTGTCGTCGTCGTCTCCGTCGTCGTCGCCGTCGTAGTCATCGTGGTCGTAATCGTGGTAGTACTATTTCTCGTGAGAGTAGTAGTAGTCGTAGTAGTAGTCGTAGTAGTAGTAGTAGTAGTAGTAGTAGTAGTAGTAGTGCTAGTAGTAGTAGTAGTAGTAGTCGTAGTAGTAGTCGTAGTAGTCATAGTAGTCATAGTAGTCATAGTAGTACTAGTAGTAGTCGTAGTAGTAGTAGTAATAATAATAGCAATAGTACTAGCAGTAGCCGTAGTCGTAGTAAGTAGTAGTAGTCATCCTAATGATCATTGCAGTAGTAGTAGTAGTAGTAGTAGTAGTAGTAGTAGTAGTCGGAGTAGTAGTAGTAGTAGTAGTAGTAGTAGTGGTGATAGTAGTAGTAGTAGCCGTGGACATACAACTAACAATAGTCGTAGAAGTCGTGGTCGCACTCGTAGTACCCGTAACCGTTGTAGTTGTGGAAATCGTTGTAATAGTTGTAGCCGTAGTGGTGAAGATATGCATGGCCGTCGTAGTAGTAGCAGTAAGAATACTCGTCGTCGTCGTCGCCGTCGGAATAGTACGAACAGTAAAAGTAAAGTAGTCGTAGTAATCGTCGAGGTAGTCGTGGTGGTAGTAGTAGTGGAATAGTAGCAGTAGTAGTAGTAGTAGTAGTCGTCGTGAAAGTAGTAGTAGCAATAATATTCTGAGTCGCAGTGGGAATTGCAACCGTGATATGAGTAGTCGTGGTCGCACTGGACAACTCATATTGGCAACAGTAGTTGCAACTGTAACAGCAGTCGTAGTAATACTTGTACTTGTAATAATAAGTACTGTCGTACTAATTCGGTGGTGCGCGTAAAAGCATCACCAACGGTGCAATAGTCGTAGCAATGCGAATCGTAGTAGTAGTCGTAGTGGTAGACATAATACTAGTAATCGTAGTAGTAGTTGTAAAAATACTAGTAGTAGTGGTCGTAGTAGCGGTCGTAGTTGCAATAATCATACGGAAATACCAGTTGCCCGTAGTAGTCGTAGTGATCGTAGTCGCAATAAAAGCACAACTAGTAGTCGTAATCGTAGTTGTCGTGGTAGAACTAATCGGGATGCCAATCGTAGCCGTAGCCGTGTTAGCCGTAGCCGTAGACGTAGTGGTCGCAATTGTAACAAGACTCGTAACCGTAGCCGTGGAGGTATGACTGATCGTGGTGGTCGTAGCTGGAGTAGCTGTAATAGTATGAGTAGATATAGTAGTGGTAGTAATAGTCGTAGTCGTAGCAGTCGTCGTAGTAGCAGTAGTAGCAGTAGTAGCAGTGGCAGGAGCAGTGGTAGTCGTGAAAAGAAACAGTGGGAATACTTGTAGTAGTGGTCGTGGTCGTCGCCGCTGTAATTGGCACGGTCATAATAGTCGTACTACTAGCGGGAAGTGTAATAGTAGGTAACCGTATGCGCACTGACAGTGGGAGTTTTAATTGTAGTACTCGTGCTAGCAGTAGTAGTCAAGCTTGTAGAAGTAATAGCATGAGTAACAATAGGCTCAATCGTAGTCGTAGTAGCCGTGGTAGCGGTAAGAGTAATAGTAGTAGTCGTAGTAGCAGTAGTAGTAGTAGTAGTCGTAGTAGTAGTAGTAGTAGTAGTAGTAGTAGCAGTAGTAGTAGTAGTAGTAGTAGTAGTGGTAGTAGTAGTCGTAGTAGTAGTGGTCGTAGTAGTCGCAGTAGTAGCAATCGTAGCAGGACCAGTAGTCGTAGTAGTAGTCGTAGTAGTAGTAATAATAATACCCGTCGTGCTACTACTAGTCGCAGTAATAGTACTCGTAGTCGTAGTGATAATGCTGGTCATCTGTATGGGAATGATAGTCGCAGAAATGGTGATAGTAACCATAGTAGTAGTCGTAATAATGATGATATTCGCACCAATAGTAGTCGTGATGCTAATCGTATTCCCAGTCGGAGTCGTAGAAGCAGTAGTAGTTGCAGTAATAGTGGTAGTAGTAGTAGTAGTAGTAGTAGTAGTAGTAGTAGTGGTAGTAGTAGTCGTCGTACTGGTACTTGCCCTTGTGCGTCTGAGTAGTGGCATGAGTAGTCGCAGTAGCTGCATTAGTCATAATAATGCTAATGATAAGAACGGTGGTAGACGTGGCCATAGAAATGCGAATGGGACTAGTGGTCGTCGTCGTGGTTGTGGCCAGGATACTGGTGGTCGGATGTGTAGTAATACTACACGTCGTGATAATGGCCGTAAGAGTAGTAGTAGTAGTAGTAGTAGTAGTAGTAGTAGTAGTAGTGGTAGTAGTAGTAGTAGTAGTAGTAGTAGAAGGAATAATAGCAGTAGTAGTAGTAGTAGCAGTAGTAGTAGTAGTAGTAGCAGTAGTAGTAATAGTAGTAGTAGTAGCAATAGTAGTAGTAGTAGTAGTAGTAGTAGCCGTAGTAGTAGCAGTGGCAGTAGCCATAAACATAATACTTGTAGTAGTAGTACTGGTGGTAGTAGTTGTAGTAGTAGTAGTAGCAACAGTAGTAGTAGTAGTAGTAGTAGTAGTAGTAG